CTTACAGTCCACCTGATGGTAAGTTTTACTAAGTTATATACAATATGTAACGTAATTAACGCACACCCTCAGACACCCCAATTAGTATATTATGTTATAATCATAATACATACACTGAATTTTTAGGTAAACATTTTTATGCACTGATTATTTATCAAATTAGTTATACTAATTCCGGAAGAATGTTGTGGTCACAGTACAAATACACGAACGCGAATACTTTAATGTGCTTGAAATAAAGTTCATTGTTCCTTATTTTTATTGAATGACAAAATTAGTAATAATACGAATAAAACTGCACTCTTTAACAAGTCTTAATGCCTTAAGTTACGGTCCATTTCCGTTTATTTTGACTGTACAGATTTAGTGTGACTGTAATTTACGTAGTTTTAATTATATTATTTTGGAATAAAAATTACCTATATTAAAAATGATAGGAATCGATTCAGTAAATGATTCTGAACAAACTACTTTCTCAAAGTGCGTTAATTATGTTACATGTTGTATATTGGGGCAGGAACACGCTGTCACAGAATACCAGCGTAAAAAGCAGCTTAATGCTGCTGTGTTTCGCATGGTGAGTGTAGAGTGTAGAGAAGAGTGTAGTGAGAGAGAAGAAGAGAAAAGAGAATGGATCGCAGCATCAACTTACCATCAGGTGGACTTTGTGCTCGTTTGTCACCCTTATCCTATAAAAAAGTTATGTTTTACTTTGGTTCAAGCAGTGGCAGGTGATCAAAAGTGAATCTGGCTGTATTGGGCTTGTTTTACAAATTACATGTTCCATTTTTTTATAATTGAGCAAAATGTACTAAATAAGTAATTTAAACAATATGTAAATCACGTAATATAGGTGGTATGTTGTGTCTATGCGTACGTCGCAGCGCTGTCGCAACGATTAAGAATTGGCCAACATGTAAAATATAACACTTTACTGACAAAATGAAATTTTTTTTTAAAAACAACTTAAAAAATAATTATCCTTCGTATATTCGAGATCAGTTGAAGATTGTGTATTAAAATAAAAAGTTCGTACTCGAAAAATCCTTTTAAAGAATATGCAAATCTAACGAAACTTGAGTAGCGGTTTGAAGAGTCGTCGATTCGCTTGAAAGTCCTTGAAAGTTGAGATTCGCTGCAAAATATTTGAAGTGGACTCGTTATTGACTTTTGTGTTTGAATACCCTAAAAAAAATAAGTTTTCATTAAATGGGGATGCATTTGAAAATCAAATTTCGATATTTGGTAATCTTAATACTAAACTAATTAATACTTACATACATATACTATATTATTAAATATGACACAATATATATTAATATACTATTTGAAAAATCCTTACGATATTACCTATGACAAATAAGCTTAAAGTAAATACCATAAAACCAAACCACTGGTTTCAAGGATAACGATGTTTACTCTAACATCCTGTATAAGAAACAAAAAGATTAGATTTTATTTTTCAAATTTTGATTTGTTTTCTCGGACTTTCTTTTGTCAAATTAAGTACGTGGTAAGATAAGGTAGAGGATAGGTGTTGAATGAATCCTGACACGTCTTCTATTCGAATATTCGGGTAACTGATATTCGAATAGAAGACGTGTCAAAGTCAAAAAAAAATTCTGTGAAATCACAATTAGTTTTTCTTTCGCGAGCTTATTAGGTAGATGTGTGATAATGTCTCTAATCCTCTCGCTAAATATGTCGTGCTCGCAAGTCGCGAAGCACAGAATAAAAATAATAGCCCGAAGCAAGTTCCGGTTTAATATATAAAAGGTTATAATGTTACTTAATGCGTAAGAAAATGCGACACATGCAGATTATTATTATATCTTTCTTTTTGTTTGTCTCAGGTCTAAGCCTACCGTTCTTAACATTACCAACATAATCCGTATCCAATCTAAGGCATAAGCCTCAAAATAAATTGGATACTTACGTTACTAGTGAGTGGCTCCATGTTAGGGTTAACGTATCAACCCTTAATATAAACTCTGTTGCAATTACTTTTTGAGCATGTGTGTCAAATATCAAATATATAAAGAGGTTCGTAAAAATATTTAATCCATTAATGGAAAAATAATGTTATAGTATCTGGGTCAGAATAATAGAGAAAAGAATGAGAGAAGAGTGTGAGATAACACAAAACCAGTTCGGATTCATGCCCGGTCGAGGTACGACAGATGCCATTTTCGCATTACGCCAATTGTGCGAAAAGTACAAGCGCGTGCATAAAAATCTGCACATGGTTTTTGTCGACCTTGAAAAGGCGTACGATCGGGTTCCCCGTGAGGTTTTGTGGTGGGCGTTAAAGATGAAAGGTATGCCTGGGAGGTATGTGAGGTTAGTCCGTGCTATGTACAGAGCATCCCGTACATGTGTACGATCTGCCGCGGGAACTACGGGCAGTATCGATGTGGCGGTAGGGCTGCACCAAGGGTCGGCATTGAGCCCTTACCTCTTCCTACTGATTATGGACGCTTTGACGTCGGACCTGCAGGATGAGGCACCCTGGTGCATGCTCTTTGCCGATGACATCGTGCTTGTCGGGGAAGAAGGCATCGAGGTACAGAGCAGACTGACGGGGTGGCAACAGAGGCTGGAAAGTGTTGGCTTGAAGATCAGCAGATCCAAAACCGAATATCTGTGCTGTGATTTCGGCGGTCTTTCCAGTCCTGTACCCATGTCGTTGGATGGCGCTATACTGCCTACCTGCTCAGAATTCAAGTATCTCGGTTCCCTCATTCAAGGCGACGGCGGAATAGATAGAGCTGTGCAGCATAGGATTAACGCAGGGTGGATGAAATGGCGACAGGTCACAGCCACAACGTGCGATCCCCGAATGCCAATAAGGCTGAAGGGGAAAATTTACAAATCGATCATCCGACCTGTCGTCATGTATGGAAGTGAATGCTGGGCCGTCAAGAAGAAGGATGAAAATAGACTGCATGCGAATGAAATGAGAACGTTACGATGGATGTGTGGTGTGACAAGGATGGATAAGATAAGGAATGAGTATATAAGAGGAAGCCTGAAAGTAGCGCCAGTGGTAGAAAAGGTGAGAGGAAGCAGATTGGCATGGTTTGGGCATGTGATGCGGAGGGATGAAAGTCATGTCACAAAACGAGTGTTGAATATGAATGTGGAGGGACACACGGGCAGAGGAAGGCCGAATAAAAGATGGATCGATTGTGTGAAGAGTGATATGAGAATGAAAGGAGTAAGTATGGAAATGACGGCTGATAGAGAGGAATGGAACAAGAAGATTTACTGCGCCGACCCCAGATAATGGGAAATGGCTTAGAGAATGATGAGTATCTGGGTCATATCCTTTGATTATATACCTGTCAGGTATATAAGCAAAGGTCATATCTGATCCTCGATAAATATTAAGCTTAGTATTGCTGCCACATGTGGCGATGAGATACGGTGAATAGAATCTTACAGTGATGTATCTGTAATTTAATACATTTTTAAAGTAATTATTTTGCAACTTAAATATATAAAAGTAAAATTTTAATATTGTATTATATATAGAAGCAACATTGACTTAGACACATCCCACTGTTCACACCATAAGCTTAGAACACACAGCACAGACATAACTCATGCATGTCATATCTAAAACGATTATGAAATGACTGGAATGGTCTTTAACGGGTAGGCAGACTACATATTTACGAGCTTTACTTTTTATTATCTAATCGAATATTTTTACTCAGCTATTTTCAAAATTTTATGCTATTCATATTTATTGATTTTAAATCTAGATCAATTCTTAAATACTACCTTATTGGTTTTACATGTTTTATTAAGAGGTTTTCCTTTTCTTTTTTTTCATTGAATTAAAAATGTAAAACGTTAAAACAATATGATAGACTTTAATATGTCGATACTTCAGCGGGTAACACAAATGCATATATGAAAAAGGTAATAAGAGTTTTAATTCAGAATATAATATCGATTTAGAAGTCGGTATTGTCATTCAGTTATGGCGTAGGTCAGTCCCGCAGTGAAAATAACATTTTTTTATTAAACAGCAAACCTGATTTTTCCTACGACATTAAATTAAAAAACTAATAATTGGTTTGGAATTTGCATTGATTACAATGAACTAAAACTCATGATGATGGAGATCTCCAGCAGTGGATTTTTATGAGTTAATGAAGAAGAAGAAGTTTAGCTTCAACGTTACAAGCAGCTTTTTCTTTTACTTCTTTTTTTATGCTCATTTCCGCATCGCTTTATAATTTTTATTTTGTAATGTTTATTTTTTTGTTTTATTTATTTTTTGTTTCTTTTCAGGAGGGTTACCATTTTTATCCGCGAAGCTATCTGTAAGTTTTATTTTTTTACCTAAGCTTTTTTGTATTCTTATTGCATGTGTATACGCTGATTCTGTGTATTCCCCTATCTTTTTATGGTTTACGTGTCACGATGTCTCTCTAAAATACAAAAACAATCGAAATAGAAATGTATTATTATTACTAAAAATATTTTGAAAGATCACGACAACTAACGTTTTTGTTTAATAATATAAACCAAATTTACGATTTGTATTTAAACATAGAGTTAAGAACCCATTATCATAATTAATGGGGAAAGGATTTATTCTACCAATAGTAGTTTAAGATTACAACATACATATATAAATATCCTCCGGAAGAAAATGGCTGTTGCATAGTAAATCAACATTAATTTGCAACTACGTCTTCCCCTCCAGGATGTATACAAAAACGGTGGTATTGGTACAGTGCCCGTAGGCAGAGTTGAAACTGGTGTCCTCAAGCCTAGTACCAGTCTTGTGTTTGCTCCTGCCTACATTACCACTGATGTTAAGTCAGTTGAGATGCACCACGAAGTTCTCCAATAAGCTGTACCTGGTGACAATGTAGGTTTCAACGTAAATAACGTATCTGTCAAAGAATTACGTCGTGGTTATGTTGCTGGTGACTCCAAGAACAACCCACCCAGGGGATCCGTAGACTTTACTGCACAAGTCATTGTCCTTAACCACACTGTGTCAAATTTCCAATGGTTATACACCTGTATTAGATTGCCCCACAGCTCACATTGCATGCAAGTTCGCTGAAATCAAAGAGAAGGTTGACCGTCGTACTAGTAAATCTACTGAAGAGAACCCTAAGTCTATCAAGTCTGGTGATGCTGCCATTGTAAACCTTGTGCCGTCTAAGCCCCTGTGTGTGGAATCCTTCCTGGAATTACCTCCCCTCGGTCGTTTTGTTGTTCGTGACATGAGGCAGACGATTGGTGTTAACAAGGCTGTTAACTTCAAGGAGGCTGGAGGTAGTCAGGTCATCAAAGCTGCCGAGAAGGTCACTAAGTGCGTAAAGTAGCTAGCGTTGTCTACAGCGCAATTCTTTATACAGCTGCGATACTTCATACACTGAAAGGTGTTTCGAAGGAATAAAGGGCTACAAACTCATTCCATTTCTATATTTTTTACAAGGCTAATAAGAAACATGTTATAATTTATAAATATATATATATATATATATATATATATATATATATATATATTTGAAATATTTTGTTACGACTGCAACTGATTTAAATTCATAGAATAAGAGTAGCCTCCATTAAAAAAATATATGGTTTGATATGATATGGACAGTTTCTTAGACAGGAACTATTATTGTGGCCCAGTAAACGATTATTTTTACACAGTTACTGCTACATAGGCCCCTTCCATTGTCGCCCATTGTTGGCATGCCCGCTTGGCAGGCATCGAGATACTATGTACTACGCACTAGTAAAATTTAATTCAATGTTGGCAGGCGTAGAGCGACGACTGCTGTATCTATCAAACTACATATTATATCAATATATCAATGATTATTTAGGGACTGGTCGTGGCGATGGCGTAGCTTTCTTTTCTTTCAAAAAGTGCTTAGTAGAGGCCAATTTTGAATAAAAATAAGTTTAAGTTTAAGTATTTTATAACAGGCATTATACAAGATGGTAGAACTAATTATGAGTTAGTACCTTACAGCCCTATTAATAAATACAGACTTGAGCAAGATTAACTTTACTCCTAGTTTAAAGCTTAAAATATCTAATTTCAGTATTAATAAACATAGAGTAAAGAGGGAGTAAACTAATCCGAATCTACTCTCGGGATAAAAGTTAATCCTTGGCGGTACCTAGTTTAACGACTGAATAAGCATAGACTAGTCGCGTACTTTGACATGTTGTAAAACTTTACGTTTGAATTCATAAGTTGTAAGCACTAGTAACAAAAACAGCACAGTGGATTATAGCCACAGCCACATATTCGAATCCCGAAAGTCGCTGGAAACATCGGACAGTACTACATAAAGAGGAAAGGATACAGTTAAATAAATGTACAAGTAAGTTTTACAACACCTAGCTAGCCCATCTTTGCCGTATAGGTACTTAGTTATTTTCTTAGATTCAATACAATCACCTCAATTTATTATTTCATATTTAAAGAAGTTATGAGTTCTTTGTTCCAGGTTGTGTCAAATGCAAATTTAGAGATCATGGATATAGTGGCACATTGGCAAGGCAGCACACATGACTCAACAATATTTAATGAAAGTCTCATTAAAACAAATGTTTGAGCTGTCAGAATTTAAAGGCAGACTTCTCGGAGATTATGGTTATGCTTGTACTCCTTATTTATTCACTACTATCCTGCGTCCTAATAAACAAAATAAAGAAATTTACAACCGGTCGCACATCTGGGCCCGTAACACTGTAGAACAATGTTTTGGAGGGAAGCAAAGGTTTCGGTGTTTACTGCGAGGACTAAATACTAAATAAGAGCATACACAACTAAATACATTGCAATGCAAAAGCAAGATCTGCTTGAGGATGTAGTATAAGGAGATGATGGAAATGTACCGGCCACACAATTAGTAAATAACTCCGTTAGAGGAAATTCTGTGTCACCATTTATTAACGATTTTTTAAATAAATATACAATAATTACATATACAAAAGGTTTTATTTATCCCCAAAAAACAGAACAAAAATGGTTATTTAATTAATTTTGCGCTTCACGCTCTTTTCTGAATTATAAAATTTCATTACAAATAATATTAAAAATTATTATATTTAGAACTTAATTTTTCCACCGAGTCCGAAAACAACACGAGGAGCAAGGGACAACACGTAACACGTATCTCTTGTCAAACTCAAAATATTGCCTGTCGCTGTCATTAATGTCATCATCATTCACTCAGAGTTTGGTGAGTTCATTCACCAAACTCTTTTTTCTTTTAAAATAAGTGGGTTGCCATAGCGCAAGCGTTAATCCCGGCGTAAGGAATGTATATTGTATAGTAAGTTAGTCCAAGGTTACTCCATATTTATTAATAACATTGTAATAACGAAGTAAATAGTCAGTTACTCTGAGATTAGCTAGTCCAAGTGTAACTTCGAATTAAGCTTGGAATAAGCATTTTTTATTAATAAGGCAGTTAGAGTTTAAATATAGTTTGCTTATAAATACTCTTATGATTAGTACTCATTTGAAATTATTACTATAACTAAAGTGTTCGTGGTACGACCGCGTAGCAAAAACTAGCTAAAAATGAAACTAAACTTACAACAGCTTATTAATTTGTTGAAGTAGAGTTTATAATTATTTTGTGCAATATTAGTTTTAAGTAATATAATGACATGAATAAACATATAAGTACATGTTATTAAAAATTCAATTGGTAAGTTTTTAATATAATACTTTACAAACATATATAAATTAAGTTAATTCCCCGTTAAAAAACCAATATACTTCCTTTTTCTGCCAAACGCACCCATTATTTTGAATTAATTTATTGGTCCCCAATCGCTTCGTTTAATCCCTGTTTAAATATTATGAGGGGTACCATTATTAAAACCAAAAAATATTCCAGACACCATTTTCAATTTATATTACACCAGCTGGCACTACTGACATTGCCTTTACCTGTCCGGTAGGTGGCGCTGTGAGTTTTATTTCAGATTCAATCCGGAATTCATTTGGTAAAAGAATACAGAATTTATTACATGTCGAACACAGCACCCCCTATCGGATTCTAGCATATAGTTGTGGTCACATAATTAAGAACGATTTGAAGTTCTAGAAGTTTTTTATTTAAACCATGTCGTACACAGAGATGTGCACCTTCTGAGAAGCAACTAGTTATGTTATAAAATAGCCACATCAATAGATCAACGAGGCTTAGGAATAAGGAATAAAATCGCTAACTTTTTTTCATATTTTATTTATTTCACCAAAGTAACTCATTCAAATAATACTGAAACTGGACGAATAATTAGGAACGATTTATTAAACTGTCCGGAAATTGTTTTGTATGACACTTACATTTAAAAAATCGCAATAATATGTAGCGCGAAAAAATTTAAAAAGCAATTTAATACATTTTTAACTAAAATTAATAGTCAATAGCATATCCACGGCTTTAAATTACAGCTTTACTCCGGCGAGGCATTGACTACAAATTTTTGACATTTCGCAGAGAAATAGAGTCCATTCTTCTAAAAAAAACGTCATACAGCTCTCTTAAATTCCCACACTGTGTATTTTAAACCTTTTTCTTTACTTCGAACCACAGATTCTCTATTGGGCTTAGATCTGGGCTGTTAGCTGGCCAGTCTAAGACAGAAACTGATTGCGTTCCTATCTCTGCTTTGGATCATTGTCATGAAACGTCCAAATAACCGGTAGAACGTCTTCAGCATAAGGTAACATTGTTTCTTCCAGTATATTTTTGTATTGGAACTGATCCATGTTACCTTCTATCAACTTTACAGGTCCAACACCATGTCCAGAAAAGCACCCCCAGATTTTCACATTTCCACCACCGTGCTTTAATGTAACTGTCGTGTACTTAGGATTGAATGCTGTATTCGGGGGACGTCGTAAACATCGTTTCCCGTCAGAACATACTCTGTTTATTATTGTCTCGTCAGAAAAAGTACATTTTTCCACCGGCGTACAGTCCAGTTTCCATACTTTCTCGCAAACGCAAGCCAGGCTCGCCTGTGGCAAAGTTTCTACATGGGTACCTTTCTTGCTATCCGACCGTGCAATTTTTCTTCTACCAAACGTCTTCGAATAGGGCGTGCTGAGATTGCTGAAGGGTTGTTTTCACCAAAATATTCTTTTCTCAGCTCATTTGACCCTTTAAAAGGATTTTGTTTTGCCATACGAACGATGTTTCGGTCATCTCGAGGAGTTGTTTTTCTCTGTTTAGGTACACGTGAAACATTCCAAGTAGTTTGATACGTAGCAAAATGCTTTACAGCGTGGAAAACCATCGTTTTTGAACATTGGAGGTGGTCGGCTATCTTTTTATAAGACCGATTCTTCCGGCGAAGTTTTATTATTACTTCCCTTGTAGATTTATCACAACTTTTATTTTTGTCATTGTTTTTTCCTAAGAAGCAGTCACTTTCAATATTTTTACAGCACTAAATGGCACCAAAATTATACAAACAGTAACAAATCAACTGAGTGTGAGTCTATTTAAATTTGAATAAAGGTATAAATTATTTAGCGATCTTAATTACGTGACCAGCCAGTAAATAGAAACACTATGTTTAAAAGTACTGTAAAAAGTTTGTCTTTTTATTTTTTAGCTAATCATGTGTATCAATAAACACAGTGGCATTATGGAAAAGTTTTACGATACCGAGAGAAATAAAAAAAATTGCATGCAATTAGTTTTGTGTTTTAGTTTGAGAAAATCTTCCCCTTATATCAGCGTTCTTAATTATATGACCACCACTGTAGCTATGAACCATCGTCTCAATGAAACCAATATTATATTGAGTGATATTACCTCAATCTCGTTCAGAAGTTACACACACGATCAGGTAACAGACGTTTTAATTATATAAATAATATCTATAAAGATAAATCATACGTGGATTCATACGTGGTAGAGCCATGCTGCAATTATATTAGTAGTATAGTTGTAGCACGAATGGGTCGGCTCGACCGGGGAAAGACCACGCTCTCACAGAATACCAGCGTGAAATAGTAGCTTAATGCTGCTGTATTTCGTATGGTGAGTGTAGAGAACCGGAGACCCTTTTTACTGGAAATGAGGCATTCCATCTCAGTCCTCACGGGTGACAACGCATCTGCATTTTGATTTGTAATGGAAGATAGATGTAGATGTCTATGGGCCGCAGCAACCACTTACCATCAGGTGGACTGTGTGCTCGTTTGTCACCCTATCCTATAAAAAAAAAATCTTTTAGAATATCGTTACCAGTGAAATGGGTCAGAGGTGACAACGCGTCCGTAATCTACTTTGTTTGAAGTTGACTGCAGATGTGCATGGCACATTTTCCTCAGGGC